TCATAGTGGTTCCTCTCTATCCTAACTTCAGTCCCCGCAACAACCCCTCCACCCCCCAGTTTTGGCAAGCTTCCAACCATGGACCAATCTTTCTTCCTGGCCTATTGTTTCAATTTTCTTTGGATATCAGTCTCATACTATGCATATATATATATATATATATATATACATACATACATATATACACACACACACACATATACACATATGTATGTATATATACTGTTTTATACTCTCCTCCTGTTGTTCATCGATTTGCTTGAGCGGCTCCATTAACGTCTCCACTGTGAGACTTGTTACTGTGTTTGGCATATCGAATACGTCACGGGTAGCTTGCCAGCCTTTGCTCTCTGTAGCTTGCCGGGCTCTCCGAGATGGGTGGAGGAATCAAACCCAGCTGGGCTGGACTGGCTGCGTGCAAAGCAAATGCCCTACTACTGTGCTATCGCTCTAGCCCATATCTATATATCTCTCTATATATGCATCTATATATATAAATATATATTATACATATATTTATATATAATATATATGTATCTATAGCGATAGCACAGCGGTAGGGCGTTTGCCTTGCACACAGCCAACATGGCTGGCCCGAGTTCGATTCCTCCGCCCCTCTCGGAGAGCCCAGCAAGCTACCGAGAGTATCTCACAAAGCCTGGCAAGCTCCCCGTGATATATTCGGTATGCCAAACACAGTAACAACAAAGTCTCCAATGGAGACGTTACTGGGCCCGCTCGAGCAAATCGATGAACAACGGGAGGACAGTGATATATAATATATATGTATCTATATATAAATACATATATATTTATATCTATAAATATATATAGATACATATATATACACTGAAAATGCATGCAGTCATTTTATGTCTGTCCCTCTCCCTTAGACTCATTACACCCAACATGGCACTCTGTGTCGATCCATGTTTAAGCAAATTTCATGACTTCATTTTTCCTACCTGCATGCCTGGGTTCCTCTGCCGGTTCCTTCATGCGTTGTGGAGAGTGGTCTCAGCATGGCAGTGGCTGGTTCCAGAGGTCTTCAGCTAATGGGGCTCTGCTCGGGTCGGGGAGGGAAACTCAACCCACCCCCTTCCAAGGGGCCCCGGCGAGGACAGCCAGGAGCAGGGTCAGGAGACTCTGTGCTGTTCTCTCCCGGGAGCTGGGTTTTATAGTCTCTGGGTCTTGGCCATTAATGGGATTACCTGGCGCCAGGTGCAGTTGGTGGGTGTGACGCCTACCTACTGGAAGATGGGGGATCTGGGTGGAGGAGACCCAGTCCTGATCCAAGCAGGCTTGGAGATCTCAGTCCCAGGACCCGTATGCCTGGGTTCCTCTGCCGGTACCTTCATGCGTGTGGAGAGTGGTCTCAGCATGGTAGTGGCTGGTTTCAGAGGTCTTTGGCTGCTGGGGCTCTGCAGATCGCGGGACTGAGATCTCCAAGCCTGCTTGGATCGGGACTGGGCCTCCTCCACCGGGATCCCCCATCTTCCAATAGGTGGGAGTCACACCCATCAAGTGCGCCTGGCACCAGGTAATCCCATCAACAGCCAAGACCCAGAGACTATAAAACCCAGGTCCCGGAAGCACGCGGCTGCATTCGTGGCTGCACAATATCTTATTATCTCGTTGTTACTTTGGACAACCTGGCAGGCTCCCAAATGTATTCAGTGATGGGTCTCATTCTCCTAACCCTGAAAGAGCCTTGAATATGGAACTTTTTAAAATCTCAGGGCTAGGACGAAGGAGACGTTACTGGTGCCTGCTCGAGGCAATCGACGAACAACAGGATGATTGTGATTGTGATCGTTTCCTACCAGCTGCATGGTATTCCATTGTGTAGATGTGTTATAGTTTCTTTATCCACTCCTCTGTTCTTGGGCACTTAGTTTACTTCCAGATTCTGGCTATTGTGAATAGCACAGCGGGTAGGGCGTTCGCCTTACAAGCGGCCAACATGGCCGACCCAAGTTCGATTCCTCCGCCCCTCCCGGAGAGCCCGGCAAGCTACCGAGAGTATTCGATATGCCAGACACAGTAACAACAAAAGTCTCCAATGGAGACGTTACTGGGCCCGCTCGAGCAAATCGACGATCAACGGGAGGGCCTTTACCTTTTCTTCCTCCCCCCATTGTGAATAGTGTTGCAGTGAATGTAGAACCCCCCCCCCCCCCCGCACCAGTCTTAATAAATGTCCAATAAATACAGGTTGAGTGAGTACACACTGACAGATGGGAAATCATCTGTTTCTCCTTAGTTTTCTCCAGTTCAGCTCATTAAAGAGCATCTTTTCCCAGTACTTTACTCTGTATTGATCTGCATGAGACGATTGGAATAATGACTAACACCTTCCGTCACACACCATGAGAACTGTCAGTTAACGAATTGAGAGCTGACAGGGTGACAGGCACTGGGCTGGGGTATGGAATCCAGTGATGAATCAGACACTTTCTGCCTTGTCAACTGCTGACACCGAAAGTGGTGGGCCCTTTGTTCACTGTGCGCCACGGTAGAGGTGATTCAGGCTGGGGGCGTGACTCAGAGGGGGCCTTTGTCTCCCATGTGGAAGGCCCTATATTCCATTCCTAGGACAGTGACAACAGCAAAGATTTAGTTTATTATCTTTTCTCATTTTACTTTTGAGGAAAAAAAGAGTCTCATAAAAGTGGTTCAGTCAGAGATTTGCACTTGTCCACAAGATTTAATATGTCCGCACAGAGTCACTTTTCCATAAAGAAGTGTTATTTACCTGGCCAAAGGAGACATTCAGTTTGTCTACATTCTTGGGTTATTGTTTCTTGGATTGTTTCTGTTTCCTTCTAATAAACCTGTGATGATGTATATGGTTATCTGCTAACTTGTTTTGATTTATTTGGAACTGCTTATTAGTTGGCATTCCAATTTTGGGGCCACTTGAAGTTCACCATATTGGAAATTTCTTGTTGGTTAATGAGTAATATGGTCATTTATTATCTTGCAGAAATTCTAACACCTGTTTATTATTAGTCCCTGTTAACACTTCCTACAAAGACTGGAAAACATTTTCTATGCAAGTTGGCAGGGTGGATTACATTGGACTTACTCTGGCCAAAAGTGACATTGGAAGAAGAGTGAAAGGGATTGGTTTTTTTTTTTTCCTCCTTTTTCTTTTTGGGTCACACCTGGCGATGCACAGGGGTTACTCCTGGCTCTGCACTCAGGAATTACTCCTGATGGTACTCAGGGAACCATATGGGATGCTGGGAATTGAACCTGGGTCAGCTTTGTGCAAGGCAAACACCCTACCTGCCATTCTATCGCTCCAGCCCCAGGGATTTTTTTTTTTTCTGTTTTCACAGAAGAGAGAGGTGAAAAGTGTCTTGGGTAACAGAGGAGAATAGGTGATAGGCACAGTTAACCTTTCATGGATGGCCTTCTGATGGTACGAATTCAGTGGGGACAAAACTGACACCAGCAGCTGGGAGCAGACACCCTTCTCTCTCTCTCTCTCTCTCTCTCTCTCTCTCTCTCTCTCTCTCTCTCTTTCTCTCTCTCCCTCCCTCCAGGCCACAGGACATCTGGGTTCCCTGGAGGTGGTGGCTTCGGGGTTGGCTAAGCAGAGGTCAGTTTTGCCCAAAGCTGCGGGTTGCAGAGGGCCAGCATTGCTCTGAATAAGCAGGAGAAGGATAGAAGGAGGGCTGAGCCGATCCCGGGAAACCTACAGATGCACTCACTGGCCCTCTCTCTGTGGCCTCCGTATTGCTCCATCCTGGAGCCCTGCCCCTTCCTGGCTTTGTGGCTGGGAGGGTCATGGCCCATGGACCCAGGCGTCTGCTTCCCCAGGGTCCCTATACCTTTCCCTTCCCCCAGCAGTCTCTCACACAGCCACAGGTTAATGCGACTCTGACGGTGTGTGGATAGAGTTGCTCTCCTGCCCAAAGTCCCCCAGCCCTGGCGGCTCAGGGACGCTCCCTGGGTGGGGAAAGCGGGAAGGCCCAAGAGTTCCCGTCAGAGGCAAGAGGGTGTGTGTTGGCGAGTCTGTGTGTGCAGCCAGGTCCATGTATCTGTCTTACATCTGTGTATGTCTGGTGTCTGTGTCTGTGTGTGTCACTATCTGTGTGTGTCTGTACCTTTGTATGGTGTGTCCAGTTTTCTGTTGCTGTTGTTGTGTTTGTTTTTGGTGATGTCAGGAATCAAACCCAGGGTCTCACACCTGCATACATTCTGCCCCTGAGCTCCATTTCAGACCTTACATGTCTGTGCCTGTGTGTGTGTATCTGTGTGTGTGTTTCTGCATTATGTGTATGTCTGTCTTCGTGTCTCTTAATGTTGTATATCTATAGCTGTGTCTTTCTGTGTGTATCCCCCCAGTGTGTGTGTGTACGTGTGTGTCTGTATGTTCAAGGTGGAGGGACATATGTCGAGGAGCAGGGAGTGGGCATATTCTCTGGATCAAAAGCAAACTTGGGGGCCAGAGTGGTAATACATTGAGTTAGGTGCTGGTCTTGCACACAGCCACCCCAGGTTCAATCCCTGGCACCCAACATGGTTCCTCATACCCTGCCAGGAGCAGTCCCTAAGGCAGAGCCAGAAGTCAGTCCTGGGCACTGCTCTGCGTGAGCTAATAAACGAAAAAGTGAACTCGATTTTTGCGTCACCCAGAGGACAGTTATTGGAAGTTGGAGCCTTGGGGTTGTGACCAGTTTTTGTCTTTGTCTTTTCCTCTCCCAGGTGCGAATGAATCAGAGAAGCTTCCGCCAGAGCTGCCAGAGGGAACTTCGTCCCGGCCCCTCGTATGGCCCCACGCGCTAAACTGAACCAGGCCAGGTGCTGAGCCCTCCAGCGGGCGCCGTCTATCTGCCCAGGGCTGTGCCCGTCATCCCATCTCCCTCTTGCTGGCCCCATCTCCAGCAGAGAACCCATGGGCTGGCCTGCCAACCTGGAGCTCGGGCCAGGCAGAGCGGATGCTGGCCCGTGTGGCCCAGGGCCGCAGGGTGTGGCGGGACCCATCTCGTGATGCCAGGGCGTGGGACTGAGCACCATGCCCATCACGCAGGACAATGCCGTGCGCCACCTGCCCCTCCTGTGCCAGTGGCTGCAGGGCAGCCTGCGGGAGGGCGGGACAGGCCCCGAGCAGCGGCTGTGCCAGGCGGCCATCCGCAAGCTGCAGGAGTACATCCATCTAAACTTCGCCGTGGATGAGTGCTGCGCGTCGGTGCCCCCTGACCCCAGTCCGCCTGAGATGGAGATCTGCACCGTGTACCTCGCCAAGGAGCCAGGCGATGGCGACACGGTGGGCCTCAGCTTCGGGAACATCCCCGTGTTCGGTGACTATGGGGACAAGCGCCGAGCGGGTAAGAAGAGGAAGCCACCGCCGGGGCCCGTGCTGGACGTGGGCTGCATCTGGGTGACTGAGCTGAGGAAGAACAGCCCGGCTGGGAGGAGTGGCAAGATCCGGCTGCGGGATGAGATCCTGTCCCTGAATGGGCAGCTGATGGTCGGGGTGGACGTCAGCGGGGCCAGGTGAGTGGGGTGGGGGGCTCCACGCGGCCCCCACTAGGGCTGGCACATTCACCGCTGCTCAGCTGCAGCCGGAAACAAAATGGACTTGGCTTGTGAGGTGATGAAGGTGGTGATGCTGGTGGGGGTCAAGGGCGGGTGGGGGGTGGTGGGTTCGTCACTCCAAGCACACTCTCGCGCGAGCCGTCCACTATTTCTAGGAATCAGCCAGCCCGGGGCTCTCCAGGCTCCATGGCCCGGAGTGTTGAGTCTACAGGGTGGAAGGAAGTAGGGTCAGAACTCAGGCACTCTGGAAGTTTCCGGCGGCGGAGGGAGGATGTCTCCCAAACTGTACTGTTGGTCTAGTCAAGAGAATGTCTGGGCTCTAGGCGCACTGGCTTTCGTTCGCCACACAGGTCACTGGGCTCCAGGAGGGAAGCCCCCAATCCACCCCTGCACCCCCCGCCCCATGCATACAGACACTTGGTCTTAAGAAAACACGGGAGAACTCAGGGGGACCTGAGATCTGGCTCTCCACAGCTCAGAGCGATGTAGAAGTCACAGGACTGAAGAGAATAAGATGAGCTTGTTGGGGCTTGCAGGCTGTGCGGGGAGGGGCACCCTGGTCCTTCTGGACCCTACTCGGGAGTGACCCCCGATGGTGCTCAGGGGACCTTAGGTGATGCCCCGGATCAAACCTGGGTCAGCCACATGTAAGGCAAGTGTCTTAACCCTTCTACTCTCTCTCTCTAGTCTCTCTTGCTGCGTCTCCTTTGGTTTATTTTGCTTTGGGGGGCCCTACCCAGTGGTGCTCGGGGCTTACTCCTGTGCTCTGGGATTATTCCTAGTGGTGCTTGGGTAGGGGCCAGAGACTGACCCCAGGTGGGCTCCATGCAAGGCGAGTGTCCTATCTGCTGTGCTAGCATCCAGCTCCCCTTTCCTGTTTGTGTTTATGAGTCACTCTGGGCAGTACCAGGATTTAAGCCATTGTCCAACCGTAGCTGCTTGCTGGGCAAATGCCTCAGCCTCATGCTGTCCTACCGGCCTTTACTGCGGTCTCTGTTTCCAGCTTGGGGATCACACCCACTAGTCCTCAAGGTTGACCCCTGGCTCTGTGCTCAGGGATCACTCCTGGTGGGGTTTGGGATATTGGAGATCGAACCGGGGTCAGTGGCAGGCAAGGGAGGATCCTTTAGCCCTGAACTATCTCTCTAATCTCAAGATAAACTCTGTTTATCGGGGAATGTCAGCCCTCTTCCCTGCCCCGTCTCACCCGCTGCTCTGTGGAGGGTGGGGGTGAGGCAAGAGCTCAGGGCAGGGGTGAGAGGATGGATGAGGCCCCCCATGTCTTCTCTGCCATGGCTCTTCCCCTCTGCCTTCACCTCCTCTCCTTCAGACCCACCGCCTAGCTTTGCTCCCACCATGAGGCAGACTCTGGCATGGACTTGCCTGGCTGGTTGGCAGCTTCACGGCAGCCCCCTGGGAGCACAGGGCTGGGGCGAATGGTAACGGATTCCCCCAACCCAGTTGACTGGGAGACAGAAGCCCTTCACCCCTCCCCACCTTCTAGAAGGAGCCCCCTGGAGCTGGAGCCATAGGACAGGAGGGAGGGCGCTTGCATTACACACAGCTGAGCCAGATTCGATCCCTGGCACCACATGTGGGCTTCCAAGCCCACTAGGAGTGATCCCCGGGCAGAGCCAGGAGTAAACCTTGAGCATCCCAGGGCACAACCCAACCTCCCTTCAAAAAAAAAAAAAAAAAAGAAGGAACCCCAGTTATAAGACAGAATCCCTTTGGCATCTTACTGGAGCTGGAGTTTAAGGATTCTGCAAACTTTGGGCATTTTTTTCTTTTTGGGTAATACCCGGCGATGCACAGGGTTTACTCCTGGCTCTGCACTCAGGAATTACTCCTAGCAGTGCTCAGGGGACCATATGGGATGCCGGGAATCAAACCCGGGTCGGCCACGTGCAAGGCAAAGGCCCTACCCGCTGTGCTATCACTCCAGCCCCCCTCTAATGTTTTTTAATGTTCTCCAAAAGTTCCTTTTCACTCTGTACTGCTGATTGACGAGTTCCTCCACAGCAACTTTCCTTCACATCGCCCTGTTTTTTTTTTCTTTCCTTAAAAGGGCTGAGTAGGGACCAGGGTTCTTTTGGGATCCCCGTGTTCCTCTCTGCCTGCCAGCCCCCTCGGTGATCACGCACCCACCTTTACTCGATTTCCAGGCCCAGCGCCCCGCTGCCATCGTGGTTTGTCACCCAGGCTATTGTTTGCAGTCCGAATCTGAGTCACTCATCTCCTCAGAATGAGACCTGAGGTTGAAATGCACCATGGCAGATGCGATATGTTAGATATGTTAGATTTAGCAAGTCGTGTGGAACAGTGGAGTGCTCGTCTGGCATGACCGGTGTCCTGAGAGAAAGGGCAAATACGGGTGGAGAGAGACCTCGGCGGGTTAGATTCCCGCAACCCCCAGAACCACCTGGAGACCCCGTCAATGAGCACAGAGCCTGGAGTAGCTTCCAGCATTGCCTAGCATCACCTGGAAAACAAAACCAAACCAAACAGGGGCCCCTGTGGGCAGACACGTGTCCAGAGAGAATGAAGACGGGGTCCGCCCCTGGCCCATCCACCTCACCTCAGACAGAGCAGAGCTCTGCCACCACTGGATCCAGGGTGAGTCACCTCCACAGTGGTGAGCCCAGTCCTGTTGCCTCAGCCACGCTCCCCCAGAGGACAGCGCACAGGAGAGTTTGACTGTGTTGGCTGAGGTCAGTCCATCTCCGCCACCCCCCTGAGGGAGTCTCATTCTGGAAAGGTCCAGGGAAGGTGGTGAGTGTGTTACTGCTGCAAGGAACAGGTGTGAGAGGGTGAAGGGAAGGTCATGGTTGGTTTCAAAAATTAGCTTAGAGGGGCTGGAGCAACAGCACAGCAGGTAGGGCGTTTTCCTTGCACACGGCTGACCTGGGTTTGATTCCCAGCATCCCATATAGTCCCCCGAGCACCGCCAGGAGTAATTCCTGAGTGCGGAGCCAGAAGTAACCCCTGTGCATCATTGAGTGTGACCCAAAAAGAAAAAAAAAATTAGCTTGGAGGCCATTTAGGGGAAAAAAATTAGCTTGGAGGCATTTCCTCCCTGTGGAAGGACAAAGAAGCTGTAGTCACCAGCTGGACATCTTTCTGCAGCCCAGAATCAGCTCTGCAGTGAACCTCCCTGTTCTGCAGTGATAGCTACACGGTCACCTTAACTTTGCCTCTCTTCTGAAGGACTGAAATTTTTCTTATTCCCTGAGCAGTTCTGAGAAACCGTGTTATTTTTAAGTGGAGCTAGTGAGCTTCTAGAGAACATTCTGGAAGGGGGAGGGATGTTGGTCATGTCTGACGTCACCTACATACCCCATCTTGCAGCCATAGAAAAAGGCATTTGTTTTCCAGCTCTGGCACACCTACCCTGGGGAAGATGGGATTTTTCTGGAACATTCTATGGACTTCTGTTTTATGAAGAGAAAACAGAGAAGTTTTAAAATATATATATATTAGTTCCTACAAGAAATGCTTTGTAACCCCAGACCTTCTCTCCCTCCCTGTTTGCTTTCTATAAGTAAACCAGATCTGTTCCCTGAGGACAGATTGTTCCAAAATGGTAACAAAATGTGGAATTAATTAAAAACACAACCCACACACCAAAACAAAAACAAGTAGCCTTTTCTGAAAAGTAAAAAGGGCCCATGTTTCATTTAAAATGTATTTTCCAGTAGGCGAACCTTGACTGGGCTTGTTTTTGGGTTTTTTTTTTTTAGGTTATTTATTCATTTATTTATTTTTGTGTGTTCATAAATGTGAACAGGGGCCAGAGAGGAAATAATATGGGGAATAAGGTGCAGATCTTGTATGTGACCAACCCAAGTTCCATCCCCAACACCACATATAGCCCCCCTGAACCTCATCAGGAGTGAGCACTGAACCCAGAGCTAGGAGTAAGCAAGCCCTGAGCACTGCCATCTGTAGCCCTAAATCTATAAATTAACGATAAACATGAGGCCAGAGAGCTAGTACAGTGGGTAGGACCCTTGTCTTGAACATAGCCAACTCTGGTTCAATCCCTGGCAGCCCTATAGTCTGCCAAGGCCACCAGGAATAATTCCTGAGTGCCAAAAATAATCCCCGAGCACCGCAGGGTGTGGCCCCAAAACCAAAATTTTTAAAAAATTAAATTAAAAAAAAAGCAATAAATGTGAGCAGAGCCCAGTACATAGCATGAAGTCACTGAGACTTGAGTCTTGCTCCAAACCTGCATATTGGCCCAGATTTCGGGCTGGAGAGCTTCAAACTCGGCGTGTTGTGATTCATTAGTGACTGAGATGGTGCGGCCATGAGTTGGCTTCACTCAACCAAGGGAAGCTTCGAGCTTCCTCAGTCTCCCCTGAGTGGTGTAAGCCTCGGGCGGTCACAGCCAGAAAGGCCTTTGAGTCTGTAGAATAGGAAAAGACGGTGAAGCAAATCACCTTCAGCTCAGGAACTTGGGTGACCAGGCGGGGGTCCTGCACAGCCTGGATATTCCCTCTCCGCCCCCGTTTGGAAAGGATATGAGCGTGTACAGTGATGGAGCCCGGCCTTGGCATTCCTGGGGTATGAAAAGTCTCTGTGATCGCAGGAGAGAATCCAGGTGAGCAGGCCGTAGGGTCTCAGGCCCCTGACTGCCCGTGTACAGAAGAATCTCGTGGGGTTGGAGCGATAGCACAGCGGGTAGGGCATTTGCCTTGCACGCGACCGACTTGCGTTCGATTCCCAGCATCCCATTTGGTCCCCTGAGCACCGCTAGGGGTAATCCCTGAGTACAGAGCCAGGAGTAACCCCTGAGCATCTCCAGGTGTGACCCCAAAAGAAAAAAATAAAAAAGAATCTTGTGCCAGGCAGTAAAGCTGACCACCAGTCCCCTGGCCGAAAGAACCTGGATTAGATGGAGGCATCTCTGCCGCTCAGACTCTGGTCACCCATGGCAACCTGGAGTTCCTCCT